AAGCTGCAATTCCAGACACCTGGAGGGCATATTCTTGTGATTCTGACCTCGTTGTCAAGCGATAAAAGCTAAATTCATGGAATGGCAAATGAAGTAGAACAACTTTCAAATTTTCGCCTTGGCTGCCAGCAAACAGTGCTTGAAGTTTGAGGTGCACTTTCAGATGACTTTGTTTAATATGTACGGTGTCATAATATCGACTCGAAGATTTGGCTCAAACTGATGGCATTCTTAGTCAAACAAAACTTCACAACTTCCACTACTGTGTCGCTTGTAAAGTTGCGTATTAACAATTGAGTAAGAATTTTATTAAGTTTTCATAAATTAGTTTCGCCATTCAGTGTCAAATGACAAATCTGAAACTGTTTCAACAGCTGCGTCTAATCGATTACTGAGTTGCTAATAAATGGTTATCAGAAGAAACTTGTTTGATAAACCTATTATTAGATTTTAAAAATTTGAAGAGTTCTGTAAGTTCAATCGAAAAAATTAAAAACTGTTGTTACTCAATGGAAACAGGCTAGATAAACTCGCATGCAATATTTTTATTGTTTATACAAATCGATTCACTTTATCTGGATCTCTGTATTACCCTACAGCGCGGCTAACAAAAGCGCATTCACACGACATGTAGATCCTTACAGAAAATATTGAAATATTCTTGTTATGCTGTAACTCGAAATGTGCCTCAAAACAGTTCACTTACTTCCCACACTCGTCGACATGCCTGCTGCGTAGCATACAATATTCGTGTCGCGACATTCAAATGAAAAATGATTGCCTGCTGCGAGTTTTTCGGGGCGCACAATTCACAATTCGCAATTCACGTGGGGTACTATATGTTTTTAAAGTGTGCGTCGCTGCATACGTTGTATAAATAAAATTACGCATACGCCCCCGTCGACATGCAACAACAAGTAAATAATGTTAGCTTAAAGCCAAGCCGATTCGCCAAGAACCCCAGAGACTGGCCCTCATGGCTGCCTGACCTACCGCAACTGCCGCAGACAACAGCAACAACAACAACAGCCACACAGGCAAACAAACTATGCTTAATTGCAAAGAGGTTCTGGGACCTCCAGCTTGACTCTCGGCAAGTCAAGTAAATGTCTCAATAAACTGCAAAAGTTGCCTCGGTGCACCGCTTGGGAGCACGACTTAACCTCAATTTTGATTAACAATGTCTGGCAATGAAGCTGTCAACGTGCGGCTACAACGTTCTCCAAACCCCTCAAACTCCCCCCTTCCCTTGGGGCAACAACAAGACCTAGTCGGCCAGGTCTTAGTTCTGGGTCGGTCGTGTCTATGCGGGCGTACGGCGAGCCTGAAAAATGAGCACAATTTGTTTGTCGGTTTCCCAGCTGTGGCTGCCAGCAGCCACTTGGGCAGACCTCGACCTCGCATCAGTTAAGCGCAAATATATATTTTATTTGTGTACATTATTCATTTGCTAATAACATGTTTATGGACAAACGTTTGACGTTGCCACTTCTGAAATTGAGATGTTGCCTTCTGTGAGGCCTGCTCCACATTCAGCTGCATTATGTACTGCTCCAGCTGACTGGGCATATTTTGACGCAGATTTACTGTGGGCGTGGCTGCTGCCGTATCCATGCGTCGTTTGGCACGGAAACGCTGACGCAGTTCTCTAATGCCAAAGGCGGGCACTTCAATGCACAGAAAATAGGCTAGTTCCATGCCGCTAATGAGCGAACAGCCCAGAAAGAGTCCAGCAATGCCACCAAAACTGACTGAAATAGAATGAGATATATAGATTAATGTCAATGTCAAAGTCAAATAGTGAATTATTAATAATTAATAAATTAATAATTGATTTGCATATTGAAATAATTGAACTTAACACTTATTTATTAGGCCACACTCTTTCAAGTAAATAAATATTTGATTGGCCAGCAACAAAATGCAAAAGAAATCAAAAATGATAACAAAAATGTTCGATTGATCATTCAATTATTGAGAGATTTGCGCGTACGGCTTGCCTGTTCTTTTTTGCCATTTACTAACCCATTAAGTCGACCCAGCCAAAAACCAAACTGGTGCGATAGACCATCATGGTCTCAAAGCGGAAGTGCACATCCAAGTCCACATATGATGAATTGCCAAGCACTTCCGGCGGCAGAAAAGACGGACGCACATCGTTGATGTAGTTGAGCGAGTAACAGTTGCGAAAGCATTTGCAGACCATGCCCTCATAATTGCTGCGTACAAAACGCTCCTCGCCCGGCTGGTACGAATAGAGTAGCCTATCTATTTGTATATAAAAGTGTGTGTGTGTGTGGAAGTAAAAGTGGCCCTTTCTTCAGTAAGAGTCAGTCATGTTTGCTACGCACCATTGTGTTTCGCCAGGCAATCCAAATCCTGGGCGCGACACGACCGATACTGGCCTGCAAATGGACCAGAATTTCAAGTCTGTATTGCGGTTAAGTCGAACGTGCTTACCCGGCGGAAAAAGCAAGTCCATTGTGCAATTACAGTAGCGCACCAAGTACTCCTGATGGCACTCCGACTGGCAATTCTCAATCATGTAAATGTAGCCCAGCAATGACTTGAAGTCGCGGCTATTGCGCTCGTCCTGCAAGCAAATTACACAGTATTAATGGAAAATTAACAAATTAATGAAACAAAATGCGCTTGATTGTATTGAAAATGAATTATTGGAAACTGAAATCAAAAGTAATTTTTGGGTTATCTGCAGTAAAATGAAGTGTATTTGGCTAATACTTAAAGCAAAGAAATGTAACCAAAAATAAAAGTCAGAAAGAGAAAGCTAACAACTTTGATTCATTGCATCTTTACGTCACCAGTCTAACCATTACCAATATCATGATCAGTATCTTTATCAGCATCATTATTTTGTATCATAATAATTTTATAAGCTTACAAATAGTATACTGATAATATGGTATTGTAGACTGTAAGAGAAACGCATAAGCGGGACTTGGTTAAATAGACTTTAGTCCTATTCATGTTCAAATAATTGTTCAAAAGCACAGCACTGCATATACATGTATCTGAGTTGGCTTAGCTATTGAGCTGCACTATCAGAAAGTATATTGGTAATGTGGTATTGAATACTCTAAGACAGACGTATAGCGAATATGCTTAGATGACTTAAGTCCCATTCAAGACTTGAGTTAAGACTTCATTTTAACTCGTTTTTCTGTATCACTTGCATCGCGCTGTAAACACGTTAAAGCGTCAATAACCCATGACTGCAACAGTGTTTTAAAATGAAATTAAATGCACATGCAAAAATTGCCAACACGAAACATTGAAAACTAACATCAAACACACATTGACGCTGATCAGAGCTGACGGAACGTGTTTCGTTGTCATAAAAGTAAATTGTGGGCTCAATTTCGAGTGTAGTTTCCGTGTCGGCGGGTATACGAAATGGATCCTTGTGCCAGACATAGGGTTCCGTGACCATGACATCAATGCCCTTATCGTTAACTCGGCCCGGCCAATGTTTGTCCGGCTGTATGAGCACACGCACAAATAGAGCACTCATTGGCCCAGCGGAACCGGTGCGCCAGGGCCATAAGGGATCCAGCAGTTGCATGCGTTTGCCTTCTACGGTTTCCAGCGAATTGAACGCCCAGCACAGGCCGTTTTTGCTGCGTCGCTTGGAGAAGATCTCGCAGCAGTCGTGCGGGAATTTGCGCCACTTGCAATCGGTCAATAATTCATCACACTTCCAGGTCATGAAGTCTACGACAAGACTGAAGTTGATGTGGCTTAGCTGTTGGGTCGGCTCGTTGCGCAACTGCTCAAAGGACTGAAAGTGGCCAAAGGACATGGCATCGTAGCTACTGACTATGCGCTCAAACAGCTTCAGCTGCGCGACATCGCTGACATTAGCCATAAAACGTTGCTTGGCCAAGGGCAAACGCTGCCAGTTGAGACGATTGTGATTGCATATGGTGATGACGGGAAAGGCAATACGATAGACCGGAAAACGCGTGCTATCCACAACAGTTTGAAAGTTGCCATCGTTATAACGCTGCGACAGTATCAGGCACACATAGACAGCTCCCAAAAATGCGGCAATGAATGTGCACAGCCAGACGAAGCGTTCCCAGCGACTGGCTTGTGCTGCCAGTAGCTTGTCCAGCCCATGGATAGTTGTGCGCTTGCCAAAGCGCTTGGCCAGCTGCCAGGCAGCCTGCCCCAGCTGACGAAGCAATGCATAGCGGGTGGGCAAGGAGCGAGGCTGCACTTGCAATGAGCGCGCCGGTGGAAAATATGCCAACGTCATGGCTGGTTAACAACTGAATCAGTTGCAAACTCATTTCGAGTCTTTTATAGCTATCCGCCGAGCTCTGCGTGCGGGAATGTTTTGGGATAATTAGATACTTAGCAGTGTCCTGGGCACTAACGTGTTTAACGCCTATTAAACTCGTTGTGCGACAAGTTGACCACAAGGGTCAAGTCGGGCACAATCGATGACAAAGCGGTTGCCGCCTGCCCAAGGGACCTGGCATGATTTGCATCAATGTATTTGTTATCTACATACGTCAATGTATGTATATATATATATATATATATATATATATATGTCAAGCTAATTGGACAAACTGTTTGTTAAGCCAATTGATTGCAATCAATGGCAAATGATTTGCAAACAGAGATAAGCGGCAAATGTATTGAACTAAATAAGATGGATTTACGTATGCTCTTTTAGGCAAACGAAAACTAAGTTATGGAAAGATTGAATAGAAAGTAACTTAAGTAAGATTAGTAAGCACGAATTAAGTTCAAGTAGCGAGAAATATATTCTTATGTTATGAATTTCATTGTGTTTCATTTTCCAAAATAAAAGTAGCTCAACTAAAGTCAGTTGTCAAGAGACTGGCTATTTCAATCCCATAGCGTAGCTGTTAGACTGTTCCTCGCAAAGGAAGGGTATAGAGTTTAAGTTATAGCTCAGCGAAAGGTACGATATAAAAGGCTTGACCTACTAACATTGCAAACACAACATGCGCATCAACCAAGTGAGAAAAGTGAAACGGAAGCGACAGCTGATTGCTGCATGGCAGCACCAACAACAGCAGCAGTCGAGCTGTGAGTCGGCTTGGATGTGCTTGATCAAACGCTATACTGTTTACTCGCATATACATGGATTCTATCAGCTGTTTTGGCCCACGATGCGACGACGCATGCGGTGAGTGTTTGGAGCTACGCCAAATTGTCCTTTGCCCATGAACTGATCTGTTGTGATGCTCAGTTTGCTGTGGACCCTGGCCCTACTTTGTGCCCTAATAGTGCTCATCTATGTTACGTATCTGCTGGCGGAGCGACATCAGCGCAAGCGGTTTCATACAGTCGTGGACGACTCGCGTTGGCCCATCGTGAACATTGCGTTCCCAGTGATTCTGGTGTGCAACAAAAATCGCTTGAACTGGTCCCGTTTGACGGAGATAAGAGAACGCCATAACATCAGCGACGCAGATTTGGCTTTAGTTGAGCGAGTGCTAACAGCATTTGATGCAGTTACTACATCGCGTCTTGACGTCTTTGCAAGCCTGCAAGGAGAGCGTTTGGAAACGCTCAATCATCTAAATTTTACGCAGCTCGTTAGTGAGATGGCTTGGCGTTGCGATGAAATGCTTGGAGAGTGCAGTTGGCTTACGAAGTCTCGGAATTGCTGTGAGCTTTTTCGACCGCGACGTCTGCCCCAAGGTCCCTGCCTCGCTTTCAACGAGCTAGAGCAACGTGCTAGTGCAGAGACGGGCCTAGGGACGGGTATAAGTTTTCGTTTGTTGCTGAATGAGGCTAAGCATGCGCCTGGCAATCGGGAGTTGAAGGGGTTTGTGGTACGTATGGCCGAGGGTTTTAAACTAATCTAAAACAGATTTCAGTTAATTATGGATCGGATCACATTTCTTATTTAATATTAATTCACATAGCTTGATGTTGTGGAGCCAGGTGTTTGGACCGGGTTTCCAATGAGTGTGCCTCCTTATGCGGACATTAACATCGGCCTCAGTGCTGTCTATCATTTCTACGATAGAGGCACGTTCGCACTGCACAGCAACCAACGGGAGTGCCTATCGGATTACGAGCAGGACAGCCATCAGTTTCTGACACTGTTGGGCTTTAAATACATGCTGGAGAACTGCCAGGCCGAGTGCCAACAGCTCTATATGCTGCGCTATTGCAACTGCACGTTAGATCTATTCTATCCGCCCTCGAATCATGTTCCATGCAAGCTCAAGGATCTGCCGTGCCTAGCGGCGCACAGTCATCTGTTGCAGAATTTTGAACAACTCGGTGAACAATCCTTTGTGGCCCAAAAAGAATCGGGACTTATCTGTGACTGTCTATACAATTGCAAGTCCCTTACATTGCTAACCGATGTGCGTCAAAGTGGTTTTCTGCCATGGAAAAGGACCAAAGGCAACAACAATGAATATTCACAAAGCAGTAACCGTTCAATTTTTGTCAATATCTTCTATGATAGCAGCGTGATTCTGGTATATAGGACTAGCCTAATATATAGCTGGATCGATTTGATTGGTATGTGCAAAGTACACGATGAGCTTAGAAAAGCATTAAATTTTTTATTTTATACTTTTAATTTTGATCATTTATATATTTATTTGATATTCGACTGATGATTTTTTTACAATTTTCATTCTTCTAGAGTCTATTAAAAATCCACGTGGCTTTGTTTGTATTTTCCGTTTACAGTTTCATTTGGTGCAATTTTTCAACTTTGCCTCGGCTGTTCCATCATTAGTCTCCTTGAGCTTTGTTATTTTGGGCTGTTCGATGTGCCTCGTTTTTGCTGGTCGCGCTACGAGTCAAGGCGATTTTGTTAAGATATTTAATAAAAATCAAGAGCCAGAGCCATCCACTTATGTATGCTATGCATTTTATTTTTGTTTATTGCAAGCAGTTCATGGTCTGGCGCATACTGTAGAGCTCTGGACTTGGCTTGACATATGCAAAGCATTTGCTAGCAAATGTCTTTTGTTCTTTCACATCATTCTCTGGGGCGACATTTATATTTGGAGTAAGCCCGCATATATTTTATACGAGGGCTCGAGCGGAGTACTGATAAAGCTTTTTGGTAAGCTTGTATTTAAAGATGTAACAGAAAAGCTTTAAGCACGTGCAAGCAGTGCTGGCTGTAAGCAGTGCAACGAAGAAGCTTAATAATTCGAAGTAACATGGGATATGAAACATCGCAATAATGACTTGGTCAAACATAGAAATGTTGCCAAAGCATCCGATGGCATATCATAGAATGTCTAGCGAGAAATATAGAAATTATAAATGTAGAATGTGGAACATAGACATAGGACGTAGCCAAAAGACACATTGGTCGCACATTGAACGTAGAAACATTGCAAATAACTTGATTATAGGAAAACATAGACTTAGCTAAGCAGTTTCTTTTCCTATTTGGTTTACTCTACTGTCCACTTGGCGCGAATGGCGCCTCATATATTGCTAAAACACCTTTAAGCACAAAATTCTTTCTGAAATTTAAATAATGGTTTTCCTATATATAATTCAAATCATTCTATATTTAAAAATTTATTTATTTTCATTATTTTATTACTCTTGCACATGTGAATTTCTTAAGAAACAATAAATCAAAAGTTATTAAAAGTATTAAAAGAGGTTTTTTAGCCTATCTTATCATTGGTAAGTTCCAAGTTAACGCACAATTCTTAACGATATATTGCACTTGTTCGTATCAGTAAGTGATATTATCTAAAACTGATTAGCAGCATATATAAGACCTTAACAAGAGTATTTGATTATTTTTCACACAGTTTTAACTATGTATTCAGGTCGCTGGATTTTCCGGAAATTGCTGTTCTTGGCGGTTATGATCCGTACGGTTATGATAACTTCGAGGGACGTGTCCTTTACCAAAATTCGGTTCTGCCATCGCGTGTTAGGGCAGAAAATGGATACGCTAGTTTCAACACAGTATCTGAAGCTATTCAGGCCGCCTCATACGAACTGTTGCTGTCCAATGAGACGGTCAGCTATGCCTGGGAACGAACGATTTAAACGATCGCATTTACGTTTGCCGTGCCATAACTGATGGAGGCTTTTTTATCGGCACCTTGAATCTGAACCTAATGACGTGTATTATCTGTTATGAACGACTTCCACTAAGAAAGATAAGCAAATATGAGGTACTCGTCCGCAAAGTTAAACCTGCACAATTCACACCATACGAGAGCCAAGCAATAGAACCTGTTCAATAAATGTTGTGCTTCGTATTAATGCGATATAAAAGTTATATTAAATAATCAAAATATGAAGTTTAATTTAAAATAGATCCTTTTCATTTATGACGAATAGAAGGAGAGACAAGAGATAACTGAACGAATTTTGTGCAAAGAAATATTCGGAACATTAACATATGATAAAAGCTAAAATTTACTTTCAAATAGTTCAAATTGTTTTCTATATATAGTAGTTTATGCTATTTACTTTTATACTTTTAAATATAAAACATAAATATAAAGAGTATATACATATATATATACTTTCACATTTCAAATGCTTTAGACTTTGCAGTAGATTAACAAAGCCTGCCCAAATATAGATATCCTTACTCTCGTTTAAGTTGTTTTTTAACGGTTTATTGACTGGCCGCGGGCTGCGACTTAACTGCTGCAATGTCGTCCTAATAAGCAGCATCCGGACACCGTTACGTGGGTCTTGGGGGCTTCGGCTGTGCTATACTTAAATACATACATACATACATACATACGTACATCTACCATGCAGCTACAGCTGCTCTGTGGTCGGGCGCCTTGTCGAAATTACGCTCATAAACGTGACTTGACATAATAATCTCTGACTGGAGCTCTGAGTACGGCCGCTGGCTTTGTCTTTTGGCTTCTGCCTTTGTTGCTCACGTATATACATATATATACATATTTCTATATATATGTATATATCTTTATATATATTTTCCTTTTCAGCTTTTTTTTGTCAAAGGTGGCGTTAATTTTTTTTCGCCGCCTTTTGTTGTATTTTCTTTTAATTTTTGCTTTTGTTGTCATTGCGGGGTCAAGTTTTCTTTGGTTTCTTGTTGTATTTTGCGGGTCAGCAGCCGGGTGGCTAATATTGCAAAAATTTCATTAGTTTTACAAACAAGCAAACAAACAAAGCAAGAAACAAATATTTGTGCTTGCATTTTTTAGCAGTTTAGTGGCAGTTGTTGCTGTTCACTTTTTTTTATTCTTCACTACTGTTGTTGCTGTTGCGAGTGCTACGTTTTTATCTAAAATAAAAAATACAAAAAAAAGGCAACGCCAGCTGGGGTAATGGACAGGTTCAGGTGAAGTCAAGGGTCGCCAGGGAGCTAGCGTAAATAAATAAATGGTAGCGCAGAAAGCTAAAACTAATATCAAAACATCGAATCCGACATACACTTAACAAGTTGGTGAATATAAATAATTTAAAACCTACCTGCATAACAGATAATCCCGGATTTGTCAATTTATGTTATGTATTTTGAAATAACTTTTGGTTTGCAAAGAGATAAAGCTTAAGTCAAAAAGTAAATAATTAAAATTCTTTTAAAATTTGTAGAAACATGAAAAATGTTGAAAACATTTCCAAATATACAAAATATAAAATTTTATTTAGATTTTCTATTTGCTTACAAGTTGCAGTCAGTTAAAAGCTTTTATTTAAAGGTGCATAAAAAAAATAAAAAAGTGTTTGCATTTTAAAATATATTTTCTATGCAAAGTAAACGAAAAAAGAAATTGACTTTTAAATAAATAAACAATTATTTTATTTATCTTAAGACTACCATAATTTTTATTATTAACTAGAACAAAAAATAAAAGATCAATTGCAAATACTGAAAGCCAGTTTGGTATTAAAAAAAATATTTTTCTTAAATTCAAAAACATTAATATAAATAAAATAACTTAAATATGTGTAATAAATATAAAAAAAAAATAATTTTCTAAATATAAAATACAAAAAAAAAAATGCAAAACAACAGGAACTTGTTGGCCTAAACAACACTCAGTTTATATATACCCTAATTTAAAGCACAAGAACACAAATGGCGCGTGCGATTTTTTCACAATTGCTTTGGCTTTTTTAATTGAAAAGTGTAATGGAGCGGGTGTTAAAGTATACTAAACTACAGTACAGCAGCGCGCATAGACACTAAATTGCTTGCATACAAACGCATAAACTGAAACATTTTCGACACATTCGTACCCATGCTCGTATAGCATGTTTGGTCGCCTCGCTAATTTGGTACTTTAAAATGCATAACGTCCATCCATGTGTGCCGTATGGTTTTTTATGTTCATATATTTTCTCTGTTGACCCGTGTGTGTGAAATGCTCTCATGACTTCACAATAACTAAACAGACGACCCGTTTCGGCGTAATTAGTTGTCTCTCTTGTCCTTTGCCGCCACATGCCCTGCAGCTAAAGAAAATGGCGCAGAGCCGCTTCGGTAGGAGCGTTAAATGTGTTTTGCCCAGTTTATTTTATACCCTTCAAGTTGTTCCATCGACTGCATAGGCTATCAGACGGAATGTGTATATAATCGAGAATTTGAAATATGTTCAGTTGTTCTGAAATGAAAATTCTAAGCTGAGAGTTAATACATTATGTAACTAGTCTGTTGAAAATTTATATATTTATTTATTCTTTATATGTAAGTTTTAAAAATTTCGATAAGAAATCTATAAATAAATACTTAAAAATATGTTTTATTGGAAATATGTTTTTTTATTTATATTTTTCATTTTATTTATTTGTACATTGCTATCATTCTCTATCTAGCGGCCACAGAGTATTTCATAGTCATGTCGCACTTATAAAAGTTATTTTTCTTTTTCTTTTGTCTTTGTGATTTTTATTATATTGCTGTTTGTATCAGACAAGCTGGCTATACTGACTTTATAGAAAAGCTTGTCTGTGGGTAAAAACGAAAATTCTGAAAAAATAAATTGCAAATATTTTAATATAGTAAATTTCCAAATGAATATATGCAAATTAATAATACCTTCAAATTTACTAAAATATTTTAGATAAAACATAGAATCTGCCAGCAATAAAATGTTAATTATTTTGATAAATTATTGTTATTATTTACGCTGAGTTAATTTATTTTTTTAGCACATAAAAAGTCTTGAGTATATTGTTTTAAAGGTAGAGCATTAGGAGAAAGCCAAGGGCTGGTCAAGAAGCTGCGCCCCATTTGCCCCTTATCACCTAGGTCCATAAATTATGACGATGAGGTTACTTTGTAATCAGCAAATTAAGTTTATAGCCGCGGGCATATTATATATATAAACATGGCAAACCCAAAATGAAAAGTAAACTTGACGCCCACATTTTTATGCTTGTTGTTTGTGGCTGTAGCTGTTGAACACGAAATGTGAGCAAATTTAAGGCATTCCATTCGGAACTGACAGCATTGCAAACAATACACAAATCAGTCATTAAATTGTGCTGCCATTTTGCTGTGGATAATCGAAATTTTAATGCTATGCCCGCGATATTTGTTTGCACAGGGCCAAAACGGGCCACCTTATTCTGTGTGTTCCCGCTCTTTTTCCGTGATTCTATCGTCGGGTTGGCGGCGCCATCTAAATTTGCGGCCTCTCGTGGTTTAGCCGGCATTGTTTTTGGTACACACACACACTAAAAAAACAAGTGTGAGGGTGTGAGAATTTCGGCTGAAACTGGTGTCGACGGTGGGAGGGGTATGTGTGTGGTTGCGTGTGCCTGTAGACAGTAACCGACACATGCGGTAATTTACCTAATTTTCGGGCGTTACGCCCACAAATCCTCCTCCTAAGTTGCTGTTGTTGTTGTTGGCTGCTCCAATAGAGCTGATTGGATTTCCGCGTTTGCTTCTGCGACTCCTGCGCGTAAAACGCGATTTAATATCAAACATTGTCAGAGTTCCTCCACCCACAATAACACTGCCTTGCCAGCAATTTTTCTGTAATGTTCCCCGGCGCTGCCAACAATTTGGGGGCATAACGCAAGTTCGTCCAAACTTGACAGCGATTCGCTTTGAGTACGCAAGTTTTCATTATGCATTTTATATGAGATCTCGCAGCAGCAGCAGCAGCAGCTTTGTACATTCGTTAATGATGCTCCTTTGAGGCTTTAACATTAAAATTTTTTTGTTGCGATTTGTGGTGGTTGATTATAAGGGCTGAAAGCTGTGATGGGATTTGCTAGATAACTGGCTGGCTTATTAACATTTTCGCATGTATATTTAAAGGTCAGCTGTGCGTCTGCTGATAGGTGCGCTTGATAGTTTAATAGGCTTGTTTGGCGACCCTTATCAATACTTAAGTCTCCTTAATCTTACTGTGAGCAAAAGTATTGGCAAGCGTATACGAACTGAGTATATTAGATGTGTCACCAAACTTGTTAAATGATATATTTGATTTATATTCTAACTAATAATTAATATATTCTAAATAATTATTTAATAAATCATTTAACGATATTTTAAGTGTAAAGACAAAAATTATAAAAAAATTTAAACGAAAACTATTTTAAGCATTGTTCTACAATTGATTAACGATGGAAGATCAATAAATTTCATAAGTTTGCATAGAAATTTTTTTTAAAATATTCTAATAAATATATTTAAGTTAATATATAATTTAAACTATTTATTTTCTATCTCAAAACTGTACGTTTGATATTTAAAAAAATGTTGATCAGTTTTAAAGTATAAATTAATGAATATAACTTAAAGATGTGTCAAAATATATTTGTATGTAAATTTTCAATATATATTTTAATATTAATATATTTAATATATTGAAAAGAGTATTTAGAAACCTTAATTTAACAGTATGTTTAATGTTAGTCTTACATCTTTCAATATATATCACAAGAAGTCTGTTCAATTAATATGCTGCAAAAAGGAGAAAAAGAGCGAGAGATTCAAACGACTGTCAAAATGTCAGAGCAACTGATTTTCATTTGGTTTTTTGGGTCAATTTGGGTCTACTCAGCCTTCGATATGTTTTCAAAAAACATACATATAT